CTGTCTCAAAAAAAAAAAAAAAAGTATTATGGGGCCGCCCCTGTGGCTCAGGGGGCTGGCCCCATATACCGAGGGTGGCGAGTTCGAACCTGACCCCGGCCAAACTGCAACAAAAAAATAGCCAGTGTTGTGGCGGGCACCTGTAGTCCCACCTACTCAGGAGGCTGAAGCAAGAGAATCGCCTAAGCCCAAAAGCTGGAGGTTGCTTGAGCTGTGATGCCACAGTACTCTGCAGAGGGCAATAAAGTGAGACTCTGTCTCTACCAAAAAAAAAAAATGTATTATGAACTAGGGAAACAGTTCCACGTTCTATCCTGTAGGGTGCAGTGCAAACATTTAAGTAAGGAAGAATGTTAGGCGTGGAACCTGATTATTTTGTTTTGCATCAATCCTAATGTTTTAAATCCTACTTTTTTTTTGAGACAGAGTTTCACTTTGTCACCCTTGGTAGAGCATGGTGGCGTCACAGCTTACAGCAACCTCAAATTCTTGGGCTTAAGCGATTCTCTTGCCTCAGACTCCCAAGTAGCTGAGACTACAGGCCACGGCCACAACACCCGGCCATTTTTTGGTTGTAGTTGTCATTGTTGTTTGGCAGGCCCAAGCAGGGTTCAAACCTGCCAGCTCTGGTGTATGTGGCTAGCCCCCTAGCCACTGAGCTACAGGCGCTGAGCCTCAAATCCTATTTTTTAAAAATGCCATTTATCTACCATAAACTCACTACCCAGATAACCTCTGTTAATCTTTTAAAAAATAAGTCATATCTTCATACTGTTAAAAAAGTTGAACAGCACAGAAAGCCGTAAAATGGAAAGAAAGTAAAAATCTCCCCTCCTGACCACTCAGTGATAATAACTGTCCACTTTTCCTCTGTATATTTCTAGCAAAAAGAGAATGTATAATACCAAAGTTTTCACATAGGTATATATATTAAATATATCCTTTTTACTCAGAGGGATGATACTATGCTCAGTAGTATGCTAAATTGCTTTTTTAGCTTATCAGAGTCTATTAGAGGTCTTTTCATACAAATACACATACATTTACTTCACTCTTTTAATGGCCACCAAGATTCCATTTTATGGCTATGCCATATTTTATTTAAACAGTCCCTGGCTGATGAAATTTAGGTTGTTTCCAGTTTTGTTGCCATTAAAACAAAGCTGTAAGGAACATCCTTACTTGTTTATCTTGGCTACTTCTGCAAATCTATCCATGAGGCAAATTTAGACCTATGTAATTACTAGTCAAAAGGCATGTGTATTTAAATTTTTGCTTTAAATATATTGCCAAACTGTCCTGCAAAAAAAACCCTATACATTTGTACTTCAACCTTTGGTGTATGAAAGTGACTGTTTCTCTAAGCCTCACCGATTTGAGTATTTATCAATGTTCTAGTTTCTAAAAACTTGGCAAGTTTAAAAGGGCACCTGGTTTTTAGTTTCCTTTTTAATTATGAATGAGAATTAGAATCCTTGCAGGGTGTTTGGACATTTGTCTTTCTTTTCCTGTGAATAGCCTGTTTACATCCTTTATCCACTTTTCTATAGGATTGTTCACCTTTTGTATCAATTTACATGAGCCTTCTGCAAATTAAGGAAAATGTGCCTTTGCGCGGCATGTGTGTGGCAAATACCTTATTGCAGTTTGCTATTTTTATTTTGCTTATTGGTATTTTTGCCCACTGAAGTTTCTAGTTTTTATGAGGCCTACTTTGTCCATCATCTCCTCCATAGTTACTCAATTCGGTGCTTGAGTCCATAAGGCCTTCCCCTAGCCTCTGGTTTTGAATAAGTTCACCTACATTTTCTTATATAACGTTTATGATTTTAGTTTAGTTTAGTTTAGTTTTCTTTAGAGACAGAGTCTCACTTTGTTGCCCTTGGTAGAGTGCTGTGGCATCACAGCTCACAGCAACCTCCAACACTTGGGGCTTAGGTGATTCTCTTGCCTCAGCCTCCTGAGTAGCTGGGACTACAGGTGCCCGCCACAATGCCCAGCTATTTTTTGTTGCAGTTTGGCTGGGGCTGGGTTTGAACCTGCCACCCTTGGTATATGGAGCTGGCACTCTACTCACTGAGCCACAGGTGCCACCCATGATTTTAGTTTTAATTTTTATGTTTAAATCTTTGAACTGTGCGGAATTTACTTTGGTTTAAAGAATGAGGTAGAGAGTCAGTTTAAGGTGTTCCCAAATGGTCAGCCAGTTGTTCCAATGCCATTTGCTAGGTAGTCCTCATTTCATTTTCATCCTCTCTCCAGTCCCTTAGGGGCCATGTGGCTCCGTATAGTCACCTGAGTGGAGCCCACACAAGGGCCACGTTGTTCTCCCCAGGGCTGCCAGGATCCCAGGAAGGCCTCTTGTGCTCAGGGAAGCAGAAAATCAGGCCACTCAGAGACAGAGAAAGAGAGGGCACTGCCGCGCTGCTAGACACACGGGATCAATAGCCTCCCAGTCCTGAGGGAGAAGTGGGACACGCACCCAGTGCCTTCCTCTGGGAAGATAAAAGAAGAGAAAGAGAAACCTCAGGGGAGAAGCTACTCATAATACACACAGCAGTAATAGCACCACACCTGTATTTCTGAGAAAACACACACTCCATGCACAGACACCTCACACACACCAAACACATACATCACACTGCACACATACATATGTACACACATAGGTACATACAAACACACCCACTCACACATTAGATAGAGTGAGTTTCTCCAGTTAAGGGCATCCAGTCCTAAAGAGCCCTCTTCATTGTGACTCATGCCTATAATCCTAGCACTCTGGGAGGCTGAGGCAGGTGGATTGCCTGAGCTCACAAGTTTGAGATCAGCCTGAGCCAGAGCAAAACCTTGTCTCTAAAAATAACTGGGCATTGTGGCAAACACCTACAGTCCCAGCTATTTGGGAGTTTGAGGTGAAAGAATAGCTTGAGCCCAAGAGTTTGGGGTTGCTGAGAGAGATGACAACACGGCACTCTACCCAGGGCAACAAAGTATGACTCTATCTAAATAAATAAATAAAATGGTCACATTGTTTAAAACAAAACAAAATAGAATGATGACGATGACCTTGTGTGCTCTGGGGGGCTGGTGGGAAGCTGCCTCTGTCACCATGAGGACCCAGGGTCTGGGAAAAGAATGGCAGTGCTGATGTGTGAGTTTAACTAAGGACATTATTAGAGTTCAAGTTCAAGGTGTCAATGGGTCCAGCCTAGATGGAGCAGGGGTCAGCAGGATCATGGGCACCCTGTTCTCTGAGGTTTTCCTCATCTCAGGGGTGGCCCTGGGCTAGGAATGAGCCAGCTAGAAAGTCAAAGATTCAGGAGCAGCCTGAGCAGCTGGGGTTTGGGTGCTTCACCCACCCCAGCCCAACCTCCAGGCCCAAGCTCCACTTGTCTCCCCAGACCAGGCTGCTGACATCACCACGGGGCCAGTCAGAGGGAGGTACCACAGAGTGGGTAGCTGGCAAGGAAGAATAAGAGATAGAAAGAGACAACAACACACAGAGAGAGAGAGCGAGACAGGCTCAGAAATACAAACAGGGACAGAAAGAGGCAGAGAGAAGTTAAAGGCAAGACCTACCTTCCACTCATTCATTTGCTGGGAGTAGACAGGGAAGTAAGTGCTAGTCCATGCAAGCAGAGAGAGGACAGAGCTAGAGGTGATATAAAAGGGGCGGAGCTGGGCTGGGTGCAGTGGCTTACAGTTATAGTCCCAGCGATTCAGGAGGCTGAAGCAAGAGGATCTCTTGAGGCCAGGATTTCAGGGATGCAATGAGATATGATTGAGTCACTCAGTATACTCCAGATTGGACAGCAGAGAAAGACCTTGTCAATAAAAAATAAATTAATTAAATAAGTGTGGGGGTCCAAGCATCAACATTGTGAAGAACACAGGGTCAGGCCTGGTTAGTGCTTGGATGGGAGATTGCCCGAGACTACCAGGTGCTGTAGGCTTAGGGGAAAAAATGCTGTGAAGAACAAACATTTGCTGTCACTTACTGTGTGCTTTAGCATCACACTAGATGCTGGGTTACTGTCCTGGCCACGTACTACCTCACTGGGAAATCCACCCCTCACACTTGGGAAGGATCACAACAGGCTGAGGGCCAGGTGGGGTAGGGACATTGCTGAGCTGAGGTCACTGCATGGCTCGCTTGGTAGAGGAGCTGCATTTGAGCTGCCTCTTGGACAGCAGGTAGAAGGGAAGGTTAGGGTTTTTCAGGGAAAATGATGTCAGCAAAGGTGGGGAGGCAGGAAGACATGTCTGGGTACAGTTAGGAGGACCTTGAGTGCCAAGCTAAGTTGGCCATGTGAACCCCAGTCTTGCTAAGCAGAGGAGTGAGGTCGGTGGTTTAGGCAGACCTGGGTCAGGTGGAAGCCAGGCCCCGAGGGCAGCAGCAGAGATGCAGGAGAGAATTACAACCCCCCCTGACTTCTCCAGCCTCGTCTCCAGACACCTCAACCCAGGTCTATTCTCCAGAAAGCCTTCAGGCAAGGATATGAGAGCCAACATGAAATCTCCCTGGGCTCAGCTGAGTAGAGTCATGTTTTTGACCAAGATGGGAAAATACACTTGGCTCTATCAGCGTCTTTGCCTTACCACACCCAGAATTTGCCTGTCCCCAGCAGGAAGCCCCACCAGCTGTCTGGCCTAAGCCCCAAGCCCTAAGAGAGGAAGAGTGGGCCTGGGGGGTTGGGGGGTGGAGTGACAGGGCTGGGCCCATTTGCTTAGAGGTGCTTTGAACTGGCTGGGCATGGAGATGACTCACACCCTAGAGGGGGGAGTGGCACAAGGAATAATCAGGCTGGGCAGGGGAGCCTGGTGGAGAGAGCCTGCCTCTGCTGTCAGTCCTCAGCCAGACCTCAGCAGGCTGGGCTGGGCTGGATGCTGCTTCCTCTTTGTCGCCTCAGGCCACTGGAGGAGGAGAGAGAGCCCAGGCTCGTCCCCAACACTCACAGCCCTTGCCCCACAGCTGTCTACCCGCCTACACCGGAGCCATGGATAGATTTCGCCTGCTCTTCCAGCACTTCCAGTCGAGCTCAGAGTCGGTGATGAACGGCATCTGTTTGCTGCTGGCCGCGGTCACCGTCAAGCTGTACTCCTCCTTAGACTTCAACTGCCCCTGCCTGGCACGCTACAATGCCCTCTATGGCCTGGGCCTGCTGCTCATGCCCCCGCTCGCCCTGTTCCTCTGCGGCCTCCTTGCCAACCGGCAGTCCGTGGTGATGATGGAGGAGTGGCGCCAGCCCTCGGGGCACCGGAGGAAGGACCCAGGCATAATCAGGTGTAGTCCCACACCACTCAGGGACCCCACAGGCACTGCCAAGTGCAGCCCAAAGCCAACCACCCATGGTGGATATAATAGAGGGTTTCCCCGTAGGCACTGCTAGGTATACCCCTTATACCCTAACCACCCACTGTGAGCATTATAGGGTCCCTCCCCACCCACAGCCATTGCCGGGTGCACCCCCAAAGCCTAACCACCCTTGTGGACATTATGAAGGCACCAGGTGCCCTCCCAAAGCCCACCCATCCCCTGTGGACATTGTGGGGGTCTCCCCCACCCCACAGGCACTAGCAGGCATGCCCGCTCATCTTTCCTCAAATAAGAATCAGCAGCTCACAGAGACCTATTTTACCATGAGCCACGGTGCCAAGCCCCAGATAATTTCTTTCTTTGTTTTTTTTTTGCAGTTTTTGGCGGGAGCTGGGTTTGAACCCACCACCGCCGGCATATGGGGCTGGCGCCCTACTCCTTTGAACCACAGGCACCACCCCCAGATAATTTCTTTATGGCCAGTTTTTAGACAGAATGGCAGGGAGAATGCTAGAGTAATATTTTTGGATTTTATGGCTATCTTTGGGGAAAAGGAAAAGTTCTGGTTTCTATTCTAGTTCCTATGGCTAGCCTTGGGGAAGAATGAGGGGTCAGAAACAGGAGGGTAAGAGGTCAGAGAAAAACTTTCTTCTGAAGCCTTCCTCCTGCAGTACCATTTTCTGAGTCCCAGCACCACATCTGTCATCCTAGCCATGGGTCATCACTCACCACACACAAAGGACATCCCAGGACATGCATAGCAGTGTCGCTCAGGTAGCAAGAGGCAATGATTTGCTAAAAGGCTGCATCCCCTCTGTGTGAGCTCCCGAGGGCAAAGGCCTCACTTGTGGAGCCTAGCCATTCACCATGCGCCCTGGCTGACTGCACACCAGACCAGGGCCAAGCTCTGCGCTAAGTGCTCTGAGCGTGCAGCCTCTCTGAATTCTCACCTGGTCCCTGAATCTGCTCCATTGCCAGGCCCATTTTTTTTTTTTTTTTTTTTTTTT